TTTTTTCCCCCTCAAAGGAATTTTGTACACAAAAGGGATTAGTTACTCAATACAGCACACAAAGTTCTCACAATTTCCACTCAGGCTTGGGATAATTATACCTTCTGTAATCCGCAATCCACTAGTTAGCTGATAAATTAGTGTGTTTCTTACAAAGAAATAATACTCATGTTACAGTTCGTAACACAAATAAAAAAAAAACCAACCTAAAAACTAACCCAAAGAAAAACAGAAATCAACAAAACAAAATAAGGACAAATCAGTCGTGCAGTGAAACAAACAGAATTAACAGAGAACACTTTCAACCCTATCAGGTTTCACTTTAAATAAGGGAAACCCCATGCTGCAGAAACACAAAGGCCAATATTTTACCCTTCTATGTATGTACATCAACAGGGGTTATGTAAAAATTCAAGGACAGAATGTGACTGACTAGTAATTTTTTAAATTACGTTGTACTACCTTTTATAGTTGATCAGTTAGTAGTCACACTGAGCTTGATGCAAATATTCATATGAAAAAAAATTACTTGCACAAGAAAGAACTGTAGAATCAATCACAATCAATTACATTCTAGTTGTATTCAAAGGGACAACACGGGATATAAAATACCAGTTGGAAAATATGGGTGATATTTGTTGATAATGTTACTATAAGGTAATTAAAATACCCCTGTAGATGAAAGGTGATTAAGTCACTATCAGATATCTTTAGGCAGACATAGGCTCTTTGTTACTCCTGGATATTCCACTTATTTCTTATTTCATTCACTCTATATTTACAGGTAAACATCTTCACTAGAAACATTCCATATTTATTTCAGATTTAGCCCAAATGAGCTTCATCAGTATTAAAAAACTGAGAGAAAATAATCAGGCTATTGGACCCAATAAACAAGAATGAAAGGAAGAGCTCGTGCATTAATGCTTTGAAAGAAATATTAAATGTATGGGTTCATTTGATTCACACTCCTTCCAAACTAAGGCTCCCTTGATTTTTGGGTACACTGCACAGAACAATATACCTCAGAATTAGCTGAAAAGGCACTGGCTCAGTAGGTGCTCTCTAAATATACCAGTTCAACAAGGTGCTGAACCACAAAAACTGATGCAATCCAGCTGCACAAAATTCACATCTACTGAAGTCAATGCTCATTCTGGCACCTGCTGAGGACTTTTATACAACTGACAACTTGTTCAGAGCTGTTGCTGCACTAAGGAGACTGCTATAGGTCCAGCAGCTGCAAATAAAATGACCAAATGACGGCTGATAGCATAAATAAAATAACATTTATTTTTTTAAAACAGTTTTCACAAACTACTGGTTACACAATAAGTATAAATAAATGCCTGGTCTAAAAACTCAGATGTTACTCTGGACCAAAGAATGCCAGACTCATGCAAAATTCTGTGGTTTGGGGACTAGGCTTCAGGACTTTTCTGGGATGTAAAATATGCAAAATTCCTGTCCTTTGTAAATCCCAGCACTGCTTCTCATTCCACAGCACTGTACATGTTTGGACTTCTGGACATCTTTATCTTAATCCTACTTAAAAAGCTTATGAATGAGAACACTGGAAATGGAGGCAAATCCTGTTTTCCTCAGCTGAAATGCCTACTGAATCCACAGAGATCTTTCCTGGGGTGAGGACTAAGCAAGAACTGCTGAGCCTCTAATATGGTAATTGGTGACTGAGATGAGGTGCACAATCTGCATTTACTAAATTAAAAAAAAACTCAAAAAGTAAAGTGTGCCTGGGCTGTGCAACAGTACTTGACCCATAATATTCCTTTTTTTAACTAGCTAAACATAGTTTTAATTTCTTTCCACACTTTCTTCTTGTTTTCTCCTATTTACTGTTGCATATCCTGTAAAATACATGCTGCTCATTCACTGTCACCTTGCTCTGTCTCACCTTGCTGCAAGTGAAGTCAGTGGCAAACCTTCACTGACCTCGAAAGGCGCAGGATTTGTCCTGAGATGCCTAATCCAAAGCAGGACTCCCTCTTAATTCAGTAAGCTTTGGATCAGACCTAGAAGGGCTCTTAGCAGAATCAAGAAGTGGCAAGACACAGTCACATATCAAAACCACATCCGAGTGTTTATCTCACATTTCTAATCTTTGATGTGAAAGGGATTAAAAAGCAAGCTGTTCCTGTCAACTGCTTGGATGCCACACAGGATCTAAATGACTGAACAAGCACCTATAGGACATCTATGCACATTCATATGGTTTCATTTCTTCAAAAGGGAGCTAGTATTTGAATTTGAGGCTTATGGCAATATTTCCTCACTTGGTTCTCAACTTGCCGCTGTCAAAATCCCACTATCCTTTCTACACCTACAGAGGAAAGAAGATGGTTGTGCCTCTTGTCTCAGGACAAACTAGAAACTTATTTGACCAAACATGAAACGAAAAATCTAAAAGAGATGTTATCTAAACATTTCAGATAAAACCTTGTCACAGATCCTAACTCAGTCTGTTTCAAAGTGTATCCAACTGATTCCACCATATCTTGCTTTATGTTACCTAAGGCCAAATGCGTTGTGGTGGTTTTTGCTCTCCTTTATGTCATTCAGCCAAGTTTCTAAGGCTGTCTGAGTTTCCACAGGCAGAACTATAACTTTGTCTCACATATGTATTTACAGACTGAAGGTGACTAGATAGAGAAACTGAGTGTATTACGGTGACTTCTAGCTACCAGAACCACAGAAACCACATCAAATGGAATTAACTTAGACAAAAGGCCACTGAAATAATGAAAATCATTACAACATGTATACAAGTGCAATGTGAAACTCCCTGTAGCAAGAAAGATCTGTAACATTGAATCAAATTAAGGGATGAGGGAAAAAGGAAATAAAAAGATTAAAAAAAAATATTTAGACATCTTGGGAAATTAAAGAAACAGCCACATTCATCTGCAAAATCTGAGGAGAAATCTGCTTGGAGTGACCAAAGGGGGATTTTCTTAAAAGCTCAGGGTCAGCCTAACTTCTTTTAAGCAAATTCATGATGGGGCACTGTTAAGTTGTAAGAACAGTTTGGTGAATGGCAAGCAGTCATGAAAGTTTAACCATCCTATATTTCTCCATTTATTCAACATGCAAATGAATGAAAGCAAGTCACAGGCAAAGAATGTAAAAATCAGTATATTATTTTTGTTTTATTCATCTGCTTCATCTTACTGGGTTGACTCCTACCTAGCCTTAGGAAAACACTAATTAAGCATATGTCTCAAGCCTTAGAGGCAACTGCCTTCATTTCTGTATATAATTGAGAAAATATTTCACAAGCAAATCTGCCTGCTGGATGTCTCTGAGGCAGTGTCCACGGCCAGGTGATCTCCCAGGTCGCGTGCAGTGTGTTTCAGCAGTGTGGCTCAGGCAGGAAATCCTCCTGCCTGGATCCAGGAGGAGAGGTCTGTTACAGTGCACACTGGTGATGTTTCAAGGCATGCAGGACTGAGAAGCTGGTCCCTGAGTCCTGCAGGCAGTGCAGCAGCTGTGTCACAGAAGTGCTGGTGAGGGCTGATGGATATTAGCTTGCACTAGGTGATCACGGTGTGTAACACATCCTCCCTGAACCCTTTTTTGGCAAAACTTATGCCCATCTGCTTCCCCTCTGCTCTTTCTCCTGGAGAAGAACATATGGCCCAGAATATGTATCTTGGAACCAGAAAATTTATTCATGTAGTTTTCTAAAATATTCTGAATACTTTCATTTCTCTCCTATAAGCTTTTATTCCAGTTACAAACCTTATATTCTGCCACAACATTTTTTTTTCTTTTTTTTTTTAATAAACTAGGTTCCTTGCCTAAAAACTTAGGTAGCTCACAATGAAAAACTAAAATTTTTACAAAATATGTATTGTACCCCAATAGTAAGAGTTAATATTGCAAGAAAAATCCTTGCCAGAATTCTCATTTTTCTGTTCATTGCACCATCATATTTTAATACTTACCTTGGTCCAAGAGCATTGCATCCAATAACAAACAACAAGAGAAGAAAATAAAGTCACAGTTAAGTTTAACATGAACACCTAAACATCGAGAATTTTCATTTTGAGTCACTCAAACTGGAGATGAGCTTCTAAAATTTACCTCACACTAATTGGTGCTTCACACCACAATCAGAATAACTATGTTTCTCAAGATGCAAGAAAATCTCTCTTTTAAATACCAATACCAACATATGTGTGTGTAGTCCCATTTCCACGACCAGGGTAAACTTTTCTGTTTTATCAGTGAGATTTCAGCCAACTTGCCTGTTTGAAGACAGCAGAACCGGAACCAGGATTCATGTGAATTTGTTCTCACTTCTGACTAAATATACGTAAACTTTACACATACATATTTGTGTGTGTGTTTAAATGTTTAGAATATATACTTCTTTGTATACATATACCTGCATACACATAAATATACATACATATAAATATATACATGTATATATATGCATTAATATTTTAGTATTTTTATACAAAACACTCTAATTCTTGATTGCAAAAATATAGTGTAAGAGAAAATATGCCACAGTAAAACCATGCCAGAGCAGCTGCTGACTCCTTGGTAGCCTATCCAGCACAGCCTCCCAAACACTGACACACATGCAGTGCCTGTAACAGGACAAGCAATACTGAAATGGATGCTTGTCATAAACAAATACTTTTCTAACAAACAAGTAGATAATGTGCTCTGTATTTTCACTGAAGTGTTTTATATGGAGTCCATTAAGAAAATCACACAGATGTTTCTCATCACATACAGCAAAAGCAAAGTACAGTAGTTGCCTAAAAACAACTGAACTCAACAGGGTTCCTCCTGCTGATTTCAGCGGGGTTTAGGAGAGATTTGGGTGTTTTCACTTAAAGATATGTCAACTTTTAGATTCTTCTTTTCTCTAAATATTTTAGTGGATGTTGATTCCTGCAAGTTGGATGCATGGATCATGAAACCATTTTTTACTATCTTTGTATTAAGCCTGTTGTTTATCCTACCTTTGCTGCAACAGATGAGTTTGGTTTCTCCAGCAAGTCCCAAAGCTTCTTCCTTTTCTCTGGGCAGCAGGTATTATCAAACTCTTCTCCTTCTCTCTCTCGCAATGTCTCTGCCTCTCGCCTCAGTTCCTCATTCATTTGCTCCTTCTTTTGATGGTATCTTGCCTGGCAGCAAGATTCTAAATATATTTCATCAATCCCCCAGTAATCAAGCTCCTGGCCAAAAGAGAGAGCACACATTTCTTCCATCATATGTAGTTTCCCTGTCCTGTAGAAATTCAAAATGGAAGTGAAAGCCCCTGGATGTCGATCAAAAAAATACTCATTTTCATTCAGATTATAGTCATCACATACTTCTAGCAGAGATTCGTGGGTATTGCAGTCTCTGAGCTTTCCTAATCGTGTCCTTGGAAGTCTGTCCAAAGTCCTCCACAGCACTTCATGGTTGAGCCCACCGACATTTATTTTAACTCTCCGCGAGCAGGCTTTGCTCCTGATGATCTCCACCGGTTCTGGAGGGAGGGAAAGGGTGGACCTTGAAGACTTTTTGGTGATCCCTGGTGGAGCTTTCTCAGCCATTCTGAAAGAGATGAAGTTGTAACAGCAGAGTCTGTAGGAAAATGAGCTTGGAGACTACGAATATTTGGGCAGAATCCTCTTCACACAGACAGCTCCATTCCTGAAGCTAAAAAAGACAAAAAATTAGCATATTGCCATGTAGAATGCATCCCCCGATCTCTCTCTCTCTCTTTCCATACTTTCATATGCAAATGAAAATTTAATGATTGCAATTTGCCCTCTTTATAGTGATACTCTTTGTGGTAATATCCAGAAGCACTGAAACAACTGGAACAGCTAAGAGCACTATATTTAAGCAAAGGAAAAACACACTGGAATTTCTATATTTGTGAAAATCAAGTGTGACAATTTGTACAAAGGACTTGGGTTTTTTCTTCTTTATTTTAAGAATCAGTTTCTCATGCAGCTGTGTTAGCTTAATCTTATTACTTACCTTTTAATGTGTGAGGTGTGCAAATGGAAAGATTGTAGGGATATGTGTAAGTAAAGACAGAGGCTAGTCTACCTTTTATTGAAAAATTCCAATTTGAGAGATACTGAAACTGAATAAAACAATCAGGGCCTATCAAAATCTCCAAACCAAACTGCTTCCCTCCTTGTCCCAATTCATAGTTTGCTGTATTATTTCACGTGTTAATGTTATTCACCAAACAGTGAATACAGGAACAGTGAACACTGAGAAGTTGTATTTTTTAGCACCACACAGCACTTATTTCTTTACAATGGGTCAAAAGAACCATAAGTATTTTGTGGCCAACTGACCAGTAATACATGTTACATAGACAAGGGCTGTGCATACTGTTCTCTGGATCCTCTGAAAGGCTCTTCCCTGTCCCACTCTTCACCTGTTAAATTGCTGCAGACATGACTGCATGGCAGCAATCAGCGACCTCAGTTTCAATAATCCACAAGTGCATCCTCACTCTCTGTGCCCAGCGCTTCAGTGAACTCTGAAGTGCAGCTGTTTGTCACTAAATGTAGAATATCAGTGTTAATCAGGAAGGAAACCCACCCACCAGCTCTACTGCTGCCAACTGTCAGACACAGTGCTTAAATATTAACCTAGCAATAGTATCATGGCCCAAAGAACGCTTAGACAAGGCTTCTGTTCCAAACTTGGAAACATTGGGAAACATTCCTCCTCCTTAGTAATTTCCCAGAGTTGACATCTCCTCCTCCTGTTCTCAGCTGTCCTGGGGTGACAGCAAATCAACAGTTCAAAAATTTGGGTTTTTTTTTATTTGCTTGTTTTGTTTTGCTTGAAGTGAAATAAATCCAGCAAATTCAAAGACTTGAAGTGTACAAGAATTTGATCCTCTTTGCAGAGTAAAGCATGAAAGTTGTGCTGCTAGGGATTGTTACCTATAAATACATCAGGAGTAAATGCCTGGGAGGCGTTTGAACTATTTGTACTGAAGTACCAGTTGGCACAAGAACAAATGGGTACAAACTCATCATGAGAAAAGGCAGAAATCTGAAAGAGAACTACAAGGTCACATAGACCAGATCCTCACTAGAACAGTGAGGATCTAGAATAAGCCTGTACTAGAAATACCAGGGAAGACAAAGAATAATTCCAGTGTGTCATCTGACACTGGAATGCCCATGACGATATTGACTATGTTGCTGGTATAAAATCAAAATTGCTAAACTCCATTATATTTAAACTTCAAAAGTTCCTCCACCAATAGATATAATAAGACTCAGTCAACTACAATTCAAATATAACTGACTATCATATCCAAAAACATCAGAAAAGAGGGAAATTATTTATCAGAGTAATACTTACATCTAAAGATTTTCTTTTATTTTTTGTTTTGTTTTGTGCATTAGCTAAATGATGGCAACAGCCTTGAACACCACCATTTTAGTTACCAGTTTCACTGTCAAGCTGAACTTCAAAACTGTAAGGGTCACAACATTCTGCATCTTCTTATCCTGCCTCCAGCACTGCATTTTGAAGATCCCTCCTCATCACCCAGCACAACGCACAGCACTTCTGTTTCTAATTACATATGGGTTTAAGCCTGTAACATTTACCTTCATTTCTGAAAAAGATAATCTGGTAACTTTACTTGCAAAGATAAATGTCCTATCAAAATCAAAGCCCTGGCATCAGTAAGTTTACATAATGTATATCCCTTTCTTTTGTGTTTGTGTTTTGTTTTGTTTTTTATTGACCTTAGGCTGATTTCTTTCTCTGGTTCTACCCTCCTCCTCACTGCCTTATATGCAAGGGGATGATGGTGAGACTTCTGAGAAGCAGGGGACTCCAGTCTTTGCAAGATCTCCTCCCTTAAGCATTTCCTAGTGATCTGTGATGCATTTATCAGTCTTCTGACTTACAGACAGCTACACAAAGAGTAAACAGTTATGAGAGGATATTTCTCTACAGAGGAAACATTTGCAAAGTTTATTTTAAAAAAATCCTTTTAGACTTTAATGCACAATGATATTTCTCCTTTAAAGGTTGTCTTACATAAGAAAACACAAGAATTTAAAAAATTCATAAAGAAGTTCTGTCATCCTTTGTGAAATCAGTCAAGTCTTCATGCATTTTCTAGAGAGGTTTATCAGTTGATTCACTATTGCATCTCAGGGGTTTATTTTTCTCTTTCTAAAACGAAAATGTGTACCCTAATATTAGCAATATCGAGTAAAACACAATAAAAATAAAGCATCTCATCTGATTAATCTTAAGTTAACCATATCCTTATTTATTTTTTTGATTGCAGAAATAAAAGATACACAAGACTGTGCATTAACTTTTCTGCAGTGTAGTTACCACACATATTTTTTAAACAATGCAAAAACTCTAATGTCACCATGACTGGTGTAAAGCTGGTAAAATATTTTCTGATTTTTCAGTATAACTATTAGTTGCACCTTCCCACTTGAGGAAGTGTGGCTTTTCCAAAAAACTTCAGAAGTCCTGGTGGCCACACTGAAGTTAGCAGTGAAACACTATTAAGTTTAGTGTAGAGAACGTGCTATGTATATTTGTATGTACCAAGGGATGAACCACCATTCACAACATGCAGTATTCTCTGAAAAGGTAAAAAAAGCACATTTTCCCAAGTGAAGAATCTTGAATCATGAAGGTGATTTTTTGCCCTTTTTACAGAGTTCTCATCATTGAAATATACATTGAAGGAGAATGTAGAATTTAAAAATAAACAAATAAATTATTTTTGTTTCCTTCCTAATTGCTTTTCTTCCTACCTTCTTTCATTCTTCATACCTTCTTTAGTTCCCTGGTGATAATTTTTAAGAAATTTCTTCCTGTGCAGCTTTTCCCCGAACCTTGGCTAAGAAGCCTGGTTTTAACTGTGCATTTAACAAAAACATAATCAATGGCCTCTACCTTCAGAATCATAGGATCCCTTTACCATCTTCATAGTCCTCCTTTGGGCACTCTCCAATAGCATTATATTATTATATTACGGTGCCCAGAACTGCCCCCAGCACTCGAGCTGAGGCTGCCCCAGTGCAGAGCAGAGCAGGACAATCTCCTCCCTTACCATGCTGGTGATGCTGTGCCTGATGTCCCCCAGGACAGGGTTGGCCCTCCTGGCTAACAGGGCACTGCTGGCTCATGTTCAACTTTCTGCTGACCAGGACCCCCAGGTCCTTTTCTGTGGCACTGCTTTCCAGCCTCTCATTCCCCGGTCTGCACACCTATCCAGGGTTGTCCCACCCAGACGGAGAATCTGGGCACTAGTCCTTGTTACACTTCATATGGTTGGTGATTGTTCATCTCTCCTATTTGTCAGGGTCTCTCTGCAGGGCCTCCCTGGCTTCTAGGGAATCAGCAGCTCCTCTCATTTTCATATCACCTGCCAGCATCTCTGTATTCTTTGCATTCCTGCATCCAGGTAATTTATGAAGACTTGGAAGAGCACAGGGCTGTGGATGGAGCCCTGCAGAACCCCTCTAGTGACTGGTCTGATGTCACCACATCCGCTGTAACCCTTTGTGCCATGAGCCAGCTTCTCACCCTTCCCAGGACTTGTTTATCCAGCAGTGGACTGAACATTTATCCAGAAAGATCCTGTGACAGATGGTATCAAAAGCCAAAAGCCTTATTGAAATCCAAAAAGGTTACATCCACCGCTTTCCCCTGATCAACTAGCTGGGTTACCTTGTCAAAAAAGGAAATTGCCTTTATGTTACTATATAACATTTCTAACTTTAAAATCCATATTATCAATTTAATACAAAATCACCAGATCTTTCAGTATGACAAAATGATACAAGGGAGGTAATCTTTACAATTCATTAAATTACCTTTTTGTGTTTTAGCTACTGCAACTAACTCAGAAGACTGGTTTGTTTTTGTTTTTTTCCTAAGAATGTTTAAAATACTTTTCAGCTTGGCTTACTGCCTTAACCTTTAGGCTGTGTGCAACTCCACTGTGCACCTTGTCCACCATGGGCTAGTAATAAATGTAACTATCCCTCATGAGGCAGGCAAAGACAGCCTGGTGCTCACCAGCACTCTTAGCAATTGGTAGAGAAAAACAAAAATTCTACTCCCATATATAAAAGCAAATCTAGATAAACCCTACATTCTTCCTGCGCAATAATAAAATTACTTTGTAGCAAAATACCTGTAATATTACATAAAACTCTTCAAATCAAAACCAATTCTTTGCATTAAGTAAAAATGAAAACTTCAAAGACTACAACTCAAAAAGCTAGGGAAGGCCAGAAGGAAGGTTAAGTGCCCTCCCCCGCACCACAGACATGCAGCTTTTAATGGTGTGATTCCTCCATCAATCCCTTCCTCTTTACATGAACGTCTCTTTTCATCTTTCTCATTCAGTATTCGGCCTCTGATGTTATTCAGCATTTCCTGCTGCAAGGCCTACATTACATGCAAAGTGCTGAATTTCCCTCAGGGAGCTCTCCCTTGCTACCCAAGTGCTTCCAGGGTATCCCAGTCCCCACTTCAGCAGGAGGCCATTATTACCACTGCCGTACAATGGAGAAATGAAGGTCATAGATGCCTGAGGTATCCAACCATTTTGGCTGCTCAGATTGAGACAGCTGCTTTTTACAGAGTCCTTAGCATTTTCAGCACTTTCGATGGGCATGCCTATGTGA